TTCACTGCAAGAGGTGTAAGACTCTGGCTTAGATTGAAGTAAATAAGATTTTAACTGAACGCACTCATTCACAAAATGCTCGTCTACGTCATCTGGATAATAATCAACAATATTACGTACACTTTCCAGATCTATGTTTTCCATATTTTTGTCTTGCAAATCCATTAAAAATTTGAATTTCTTGCTATACATCTCATAGACTTGGCTCCTTTTGTTTAAATCCATAATCAGCTTATCCAACGCAACGTTTAGCGTGTCTCTTTTAAATTTTTCTGCGCCGTATACTGAGAATTTATCTGTAGACTTATCTGAAAATTTTGGAGTAATGCGTCTCTTGTTTATGTCATTGTAGTCTATTCCCACACTAGTACTTAATTTTTTAGCTTTCTCTTCGTATTCCTTTAGCTTCTGATCTGATTGGTGCCTTATGTTGTTCACGAAGTCTTTTAATGATACAATTAACTTGTTGCCTTCACAAATAACTTGTTGCCTTCACGTGTCAACCACACTAACATTGATTTCTTATGTTCATTAGAATTTTCATGATTTTCTAAACAAGTTCCTATGTGTTTCCAATCAGAAAATCCGGTTGTGTATTGAGAAGGGATTTTAGAAAAAAGTTTGCAAGTCAAACAAAAAACAGTACCAACCCTGGTTGAATAACATAACCAAGATCTTTCCAGTGATTGACCATTTTTCATTTTCTTAATGAAATACCTATTTGAAAATGTTCTGTTTTGTTCTTTGTATTTCTTTATTGAAGCTGAATATATATTTTTCGGATCTTTATTTTGAAAGTCAGTCATTTCATGTGAGAGTATGTCATTAATAAAATCATTATTTAGCAATTCTGACCACAAGCCCACGTCAACATATTTCTCAAACTTAATATTCTCTAAATTTCTTTCCGCCTCGGTATTACCGTCCTCTTGATGCAGGGCCGTCTAAATAGCATGCAGGGCCCCCTGGCAAAGAAATGTTTTGGTCCCTTATCTTATAACATGTCATACTACTTAAAATCGAACTAAAAAATTTGAACAAATTTAAATACAGTTTGATTTAAATGTATTTAAATTTGTTTTTAGTAGACCCCCCCCCCAAAAAAAAAACTGAATTCACATAGAAATTTCATTGGAAGGTAGAAAAATAGATTTCGGTTTGCCTTTTTAAGTTTCCCGGTGATAAACTATTCAAATTATTGTTGTTTGCAAGATAATCAATCACTATTTGTAGAAAGAAAAGCAAAATACACATTTTATACAATATAATATATTTATTTTAAAAAAAATATATAAGGTAATTTTGTTTAGTCTTAGTTCCTTTTTAAACCAATTTATAAAAAGTGAGATTCTTTAGGGCCCCCTGAGTGCCTGGGGGCCCTCGGGCACTACCCGGGTGTGTCCATGCGTAAAGACGGTACTGTCTTGCTGAACACCAATTTAGTTTTCAGTGGGATCAGAGGGTTTCTGGTAGTCAAGACAGTTATTATTAAACTAAACAAGTTAGTCACTTTTACGACGAGAACAGAAGTGCGGGAAAAAACAAAATTGCGACGGGCGTTAAGCGGCGCTGCGGGAAGTCCCTCATAATAGACGCGAAAAAATACACTGACCAAAAACAAGCGACGGGTAATTCCCCGTTCCGTTCGAAAGACGCTCACATGATGGGTTGATTGATCTCAGGGTTGCTAACCTTATAATATCTTTTTTTTTAATATTAAATATTTTTTTTAATTCAAAATATCACCTATTGATTTCAATGGGGACTGGGGCCCTTTGTATCCACGGGGCCCTGGGCTGCAGCCCAAAAAGCCCTTAAGTAGATCCGCTCCTGCATGCATTCCTGATTAGCATGGACGGATCGTGAATTTGTGGGGCCCTGGGCTGAAACTACATAGGGGCCCTAATAGCCATTTTGTCAACAAAAAAAACTGTTTTCTGTAGTGATGTAGATAAGCATATAGAAAAAAATAGGACAGTAAAATAATTTTATGTATTTATTTTTATTTGTGTATACAAACAGCAACTGTACAACATTATTGCAAAAGAAATTGACAGGTTATGTGTAGTTATGTTGTATAAATTATAAAGCAGCCTTTCTGCATTTTCGTGCTGCAAATTCCTTTATTTGCTCATCACATTGTAAGTCCTTCGTTAAATCAGAATTTATGGAAAGAGTTGATAAATGATTTAGTCGATGGTTTGACATTGTTGTCCTATATTTGTTTTCTATATATGACATCCTGGAGAAAGAGCGCTCCGCTTCACAGCTAGTGATTGGCAAAGTTAAAAAAATCTTTAAGATAGTATAGCAATTTGGAAAACATCAAAGTTTCTTTTCTTAAATTAGCATAAAAATTTCACTGCAAGAGGTGTAAGACTGGCTTAGGCTGAAGTAAATAAGATTTTAACTGATTGCACTCATTCATTAAATGCTCGTCTACGTGTTCTAGATAATAATAAAAAATATTACGTACACGATCTATGTTTTCCATATTTTCTTCTTGCAAATCCATTAAAAATTTGAATTTCTTGCTATACATCTCATAGACTTGGCTCCTTTTATTTAAATCCATAATCAGCTTATCCAACACAACGTTTAGAGTGTCTCTTTTAAATTTTTCTGCGCCGTATACTGAGAATTTATTTGTAGACTTATCCGGAAATTTTGGAGTAATGCGTCTCTTGTTTATGCCATTGTTGTCAATTCCCACACTAGTACTTAATTTTTTAGCTTTCTCTTCGTATTCCTTTAGCTTCTGATCTGATTGGTGCCTTATGTTGTTCACGAAATCTTTTAATGACACAATTAACTTGTCACCTTCACAAATATCACAATTATATCAAATATCTACATATATATATCCAGGGCTCTGTATTTTTCTATTAACTAAATTAAATCTCCCCAAAATTTCTTCCCAAAAAAATAATCAAAATTGCAGTATCGAGTTTCGCCATTTTATTGAATAAATTTCGTACCTCTTTCCGAAAATCAACTTTCTCATCCTCATTTTCGCTGAAACTTTCGAAAATTTTCATAATGTCATCATAATTATTTTTCAAAGCTTTGACAGCATCATAGTGACAAGACCATCTAGTCTGTCTTAAACTTTTTAACGTAAATTTGAGTTTTGTTTCACGATTTAATAGTTCCCACCTATGGGTCGAAGTAGAAAAGAAAAAGTATATTTTTTGCACTACTCCAAAAAAGTTCACAATTTTGGTTGCAACCTTAACAGATTCTTCACCAACTTAAGGGAATGAGCAGCACATGGCACACAATCCGCGGATTTATTTCTTTGTTTTAGTAGTGCTTGTACACCATTGTAGTGACTCGCCATATTAGCAGTGTTGTCATAAGATTGTCCCCTACAATTATCCAGTAGTAGTCCATTTGTTTCTAAAACGTCTTGTAGAATATTAAATAAATGTAAGCCAGTATGACTACAAATTTTAATGAAGGATACACATCTTTCATACACTTTTCCCCGAAAATAGTATCGTAATACAATAGCAAGTTGATCATTGTGAGATAGATCTGGAGTAGAATCCACCACAATTGAATAATACTTTGTGTCGTCGTTATTTATTTGAGTTATAATTTGTTTAATTATCTGTTGGCCCATAAACTCAATTATTTCCTCATATACTGTTTTTGATAAGTACGATATTATCGATTTTGGTCTCAGCTCTCGTTGTTCAATGTGTTTACGAATGAATGGATCGAACTCTGCCAATAGCTCCAGAGCACCCATAAAATTACCATTATGTGGAGAACCAAATACTTCCTCGGAACCTCTAAATGCTAAGTCCCTTATACTTAAAATTTGACCACTGCAATAACCTGTTTTAGGACATAGTGATAATATTCTGTTTCTTTTCTTAATTGTTTCTGAAGCTGCTTGTCTAAAACAGATCTATTTTCTTTTCGTGTCAACCACACTAACATTGGTTTCTTATGTTCATTAGAATCTTCATGATTTTTTAAACAAGTTAGTAAACTAAACAAGTTTGTCACTTTGACGACGAGAGCAGAAGTGCGGAAAAAAAATTACGTAGGCGTTAAGCGGCTCGGCGGAAAGTCCCCCGTAATAGACACGAAAAAATACACTGGCCAAAAACAAGCGATGGGGAATTTCCCGTTCCGTTCGATAGACGCGCACATGCTTGGGTTGATTGATCTCGGGGTTGCCAACCTTATAAGAGTTTTTTTTAATATTAGATATTTTTTTTAAATTCAAAATATCACCTATTGTTTTCAGTGGGGACTGGGGTCCTTTGTATCCACGGGGCCCTGAGCTGCAGCCCAAAAAGCACTTAGGTAGATCCGCCCCTGCTGATTAGCATGTATTATAGAAAGTAAGGAAGTACGTAAGTTTTCGTCTTGATTTTTTAACTGATTAAAGAATGTTAAGTTTGGAAACAATGCGAAATTCAAAACTTCATTATATGTAGCTCATGAAGTATGAGTCATAGCAATTAAAAAATTTTTTTATGGATAATCAAAATTTAAAAAGTATTATGAAAGGGCAAAACATTGCTGTAGTACATCCCCATATATCTGAGCCCATGATCTTTAAACATGGGATTGGTATTCTTCCCAGATGGCGTATTTGAGCGTTGTGATCGCGACGAAACAGACTTGACAGGATAATCAGATTTGCAGATTTATACAATTTCAATATACGAAAAAATGATATTTTAAATACTTTTTTATTTAATTTCGGATTAAAAATATCGGATTTCGAAGGATTGAGGATGCCCCACTTTGTCTATCTGAACTAGGGTAATCGAGAGTCTAGCTATACATCTGGCAATCTTTAACAATCTTTATAATAAGTTTTTGAAGACTTTAAAAATAAAGAGTGGTATTTTTTTTTTCTTTTTTATTATAACTTGTTCAAAATTAAGTAAATAATTGTAAAGCGGGTTCACCTCAGCTAGATCATTGACTACTAAGCCACCGCTTGGAGTAGACATCTGCAAACCAGAAACTTCACTGATTTTCGATATGGCAACATTACTGTTTGTCGTTATTATTCAAAAGTTGAGCGCGGGTGAGTTATGAATTCTCTTACTTAAAGCTCAAAGAAGGTTGTTTCTTCGATTTGTTTACTTACAAAAATGCTTTAAATGAATTAAAATCAAGTTCCTAACTTTTACCGTTTAGCTCGTTTATTGATTGATCAAGAGTATTGAAGCTTAATGTTTGTGTCAAATATTCGAACCGAGTTTTACGATGTCTTATCTACAATTTCGAACCGAATATTATTGTTGGTGGGATATGACGTGGACGCTCTCTGTGCGTGCAAAATATTGCAATATCTGTTCCAATGTGATAATGTATTATATACTTTGATTCCAGTTTACAGTAAAACATCTCTTGTCGAATCTTTTAAAAAACATAAAGAGAAGTTGAAGTTTGCTGTGTTGATCAATTGTGGCAGTACTATTGATCTTGTCGAAGTGCTTGAACCAGAAGACGATGTAGTGTTTTTTATTTGTGACAGTCAACGACCTATAAATGTTTACAACATCTACAGTGAAACCCAAATTCGCTTGGTTATGAAACCAGAGGATTGTGAAAACATACCTGCTTACACTGACATCTTCAGAGATGAAGATTCAGCTGATGAAGATGAGGAAATGGGCAGGCCAACTGAAGAAACCATAATGAGACGTCGCGATAAAAGGTTGTGGGAAGAAAACCGTAACAAAATCATGTTTGAGTATAGTCAAATAAGTTATTTTGGCGAATCTTCGTCTTGCATCATGTTTGATTTAGCTTGGAAAATGTCTAGAGATAACAATGATCTCTTGTGGTGGTCCATTATTGGCTTTACAGAACAATTTGTAATGAACAAGGTGGAATCCGATAAATATATTATGAATGCATCTTTAATGCAAAATCATGTTACACGCCTGAATCGTGCTGATGTTGGAACCTTTAACTCCGTTAGCTGCATGAAGATTTCCTTTGACAAGGAATTAAATTTGTCTCTGTACAGGCATTGGTCAATCTATGATAGTATGCTTAATTCTAAGTATACGGCATGTAAGTTTAAGTTGTGGAGTGGTAAGGGCAAGCAAAATATGCGAGAATTTCTTGCATCGATAGGATTGCCCTTGTCGCAATGCAGGCAAAAGTTTTTGTCCATGGACATGGAAATCAGGAACAATGTGTGTTCTTGGATGGAAGCCAATTGTGATAAATATAGGCTCGATCAGATGGTCTTCGGTTCTTTTAACTCGCAGTTTGGCTTCAAAGGAAAATTCAGTGCTACCGATGTTGTTCTTGCCATCAGTGCTCTTTTGGAGTCTACGGAGAAAGAAAAAACTGCTGCTGATAAATTTCAGGATGCTTCTGATGCATTGAGAAAAGGGGAGGTAAATGCCATTAAAAGAGGCATTGAATTAGCTAAATTGAGACTGGAGGCTATATTTAAACAAGTTCAGAACTTTATCGCCTTAAAACATGTTAGACCTGCTGGGCCGTTTTTGCATGCAACTGTACCAACTTCAACACATGATTTCAAATACTTTTGTTATCCTTCTTGTCTAACGATGTTAGGTAATTTTTTGTTAGAAGCACATGTCTGTTCGCGCCGGAGCAACCGTGCCGGTTCTCTACCATTAATTCTATTTGCTCCCGATGAACAGGAATATGATCAGTGCATAGTTGTTGGTATCCCTCCGCTTTCAGAGAGATCACCTAGAAATTTCTTTGGCAAGGCGTTTGAGCAAGCAGCTGAACAAGCACGAATTTTTATCAATCAAGATTTGTTTTACACTTCTATTGTGTATATAAAGAGGAATGATCAGGCTAAATTTTTGGATGCTTTGTTTTTATTGTTGAGTTAGTTATAAAGTGTTTTGATAGTCTATATATTTTGAACATTAATTGTTCCACGTATTTATTCACTTATTTCTTTTGCCAATACAATGCTAGAGTAGAGTGTGAATGTTTAGAATGTCTGAATTTTATTATAGTTTTAATTTATTTGAAATTTTTGAACTTTTTTACATGAACTTTCTATGTTTAAATTTCGACTGTTTGTTCTGGTGGGTGTGTTAGTGATGTTTATTGTAATTTTTTTTATGTTCTGTGTATAGTTATAAATTTTGGAAATTTTTTTTCTTTTAAATCAAAATTGAGTATATTCTTTTGCCTCAAAATTTCATTTTGATTTTCTACAGGGTTGGGTTTTTGACGTCAAAAAGTGGTTTTTGACATGACAAGGGTATAATACTGGTTTAAACCGTCAAAAACCCGTCAAAAATGTCAAAAACTAAAGTTTGCCAANCCCTGATTTTCTATTAAAGAAAGTTTTTTTATTAATACTTTAAGCACTACAATGTTGTATGAACTTAATAAGTTTTTCAGTAGTCATTTTTCAAATCATTTTACAGATTTTATTTGGCATGCTTTTTGATTTTACGCATGTTTTTATCTGTACATATGTTAGCAAAAAAAAAAAATATTTTTTTTCTTCTTAACAAACTAATTAAATTAATTTTATAAAATTTAATTTTTTTATTTCTTATTCTGTTTACTTTAAGTTTAGTTTTAAGGTATTTTAGAATATGGTATAGTATGTTTTAAAAATACAGTATACTTTTAGAATACCTACTACTTTCATGTGTATTTGTCGATAGTATCTTAGAAAATTAACTTCCTATTCTCAAAATATTCTTTGAAAGTAATGTATCCAATTTTGTTAAATGTGAAAGTTTTTAAAGTTAGAAGCAATGAAATATATAGATCTTGTCCTATGATTGTTTTGTTTCTTTTGCTTTTTAATGAAAGCGACATACTTTTTTTTAAAGTTAAAAAAATAAATGGCCATTTAAATACTTGAACAGTGAAGTTACCTTCTTGTATATCAATGAGTTTGCTATCTGGTTAACTAGGTTATTAACATATAACAGTTGATTTAATTATTTTTCCTATTTAGAGTTTAAATTTCCTAAATAAAGCATTTATTTTAAACTTATAAGGATTTAAACTTTAAAGATCTCTCTTAAAATGATTGTTTTCATTATTTAATATGTCATNCTGGATCTTTCATTATTTTCAACATCAGCCCCATTATCTAGCCTCCTTATTTACCTGTATTGTTCAGAAACTTTTCGAACAGAACACAACCACGGAACCCCTTTCAGAATACATTTCTCTGCAACCACGTATTTACCGCAGGTAAGGTTTCTTCATGTAAGACGATAAAATTTTTTATGCACTTATGTAAGATGGACAAATACCTTGTAATGGCAAAATCTTCTATGATGATGCACCAAAAATATTCAAAGCTTTAAAAAATAGAAGACGTTGAAAATGTATTTTAATTAAAGAAATGATTTTTTTTCCAAGAGTTTTGTGTTTTTTTAGTTTTTAGAAATCTCACCCTGTTTTTGAGAAAGGGTGAGAAATTCTCACCCATTTTTTTTCTATGATGAAAACACTGCTATTTAGAGCTTAAATTTCCTAAATAAAGCATTTATTTTAAACTTATAAGGATTTAAACTTTAAAGATCTCTCTTAAAATGATTGTTTTCATTATTTAATATGTCATTAAAGATAATTTTTTTAACAAATGTTTAAAGACCTTTAGAAATAAATCTTTCATTTATTGTGGTATAAAATTTCTATTATTACGTTGGTAATTTTATTAGTATTTTGCGATTAAAAAGAGAAAAAAAATATTCATTGAAATTGTGTCTATAAATCAATCAAGCTTTCATATTGTAATTTTTTTTACAGATATGCATATCAAAACTTTACTTATATTATAGTCCTATTTATGTGCAAAAATAAAATGGTGAAACATCAAAGTCTAATTTTGAATTTTAAATCATTACATACCACCATTTGATTTTTTCCGCTAGTTCACGGATTTTCCCAAACATCAAGACCAATGATTCCCAGACTTAAGCTAATAAATTATTTATATTCGGACAAATTTTTCTCAGTTCTGCTAATCTAAAATATAAATTTTGTTACTTGTTAACGAGACATTTATTCTGTCCTTACCAGCATCCTTTGTTTTCCTACTTAACTTCTCATTCACATGCAAAACTCCTTTTTTACGCAGATTTGTTAAAGGAAATTGCAACTTCGGAAAAACTTCATGAACAAGAGGCTGGAAAAAAAATTTCATGATAACTTAGGCTAAAATAAAGGAGCTTCTCAGGCTAACACAAATGTAAAAAATTGTTAATCCAAAAAGTAATTCCGAAGTATCAAGCATTTAAAAGATCTTTTGCTAGAAAAAAATTCTGTTTTTTCTCCTTTTTTTAAAACTTATATTTTAAGGAATAACAATTTTGTTGCAAATTTTGATTTGTTAGAGAAAAATTATTTAATCAATGTGATATATTTGCCCCTTTTTTATTTGGCCACAATTAAATCAAATTAATGTTTAATATTACATGGAAATTTGAAATCAAGCATTTCAATAATCACTTTTTGTCCTCGATAGCATCGTAAATCCCAATTTTTTTTTTGTTGCCATATAATGAAATTGATTTTCTCTGTTTTTAAAATTTCCTTATTATTACAGCACACAGAATTTTAATTTCACATTTGAGTAATTACTTTTGATGCACTAGATTTGATTAAAATCCATGTGAGTTCCGATTTGTTTCCTTTGCTTGTAGTTACTGCTGTTGATTTCCGCATTTTTTATTTATTTTTAAATCCTGATATTTTTATGATTTGGGAAATTCAAATTGTACAACTGAGTGTTCACTAATTGACAAATAATTCCATAGTTTTTTCAATCAATTTTTCGTCAGTAATCAATAATAATTTTCACCTATTTTTGAAATTTTGCTATTTTTAATACAATATTATTTTTTTCAACATGTGAATCTCAAAATGTGTGTTTAATTAACCCCATTTTAACGTACATTTTATTAATCCCTTTTATGTTTTTTATTTTCTGATTGGTCTCTTATTTTGTAATTATGTTTTCTTTTTAAATATATTTTTGACATATTAATGAAAACCGTTTTTTTTATTTTTTTTTATTTGAAAGCAAATTTATCTTTTCTATAATTTCAGTTTTTTAACAATTAATATTAAGTTCCACTTAATTTTATTTTTATATATTTTTGTGAATAGTGTTAAAATAGATTTATATTTCAGAGCTCCTTTCGCTATCTCGTGACATATTGTCAGACTTCGATAAAATAAAATGAAATTCCATGAACACGAATTCTTAATAAAAAAGCTTGCGGCAAGCAATTGATTAACTAGTTTCAAACTTTTCATCGCCACCTCATTTTTGCATAATTTGCTTGAAACTCACAGATTTGTTTAAAAATATTTAAATTTTTATATAATTATATTGAATTATACTACAAGAGTGAGTTTGGTTAAAAACCAAAAATGTTGTGTGCAAAAACACTTATTTTAAGTTATTGAAAAAATGCCTTAATTTGAACAAGAAAGAAGTGTATGTTGGGAGTATTTGTCCACAAAATGTTATGAACGTTTCAAAAAAAAATATTGAAGCAAGATTTTATTTAAATTGTGTAAAATGAATCTTAATGTATGATCTTTAAATCACACGAATACAAATCTCGATATTTTAATTTTAAGATTGTTTGAAAACGAATCTTGATATTTGATTTTAAAATCGCCTAATTACGAATGTCGATGTTTGCATGAATTCCAATCTTGAGGTTTTGTTTTAAAATCTCGTGAATATGAATTCCAATGTATAATTTTTAAGTCACTTGAACACGAAATATAAGTGACTTTTAAGTTGCGTTAAAACAAAACATGATATTTGATATAAAATCGCAAAATGCTATGTGTGATCTTAAATTGCAACGTGTAATTCAAAGTTATGTAAATTTAATTTTTAAATTGTGCTTGCATGGGTAGGAAAAAACGAATCTTTTTTTGGAGGGGCGGGGATTCGAAAAAGTGTTTTTTAAAATCTTTTTATTAAATTGAAAAAAAGTCGAAAAAACTCGTCCTTGATATGAAATTATTAAACTATGCATATAAAAAACAGTAAATATTAATCTGAGTTTTATATTTTAATATATTAAGTAATGTATAATAAATTATATCCTTTATATAAATTAATCTTTCTATTGAGTTCAATAAATTTTACATCATAGTTAATTGTTCAGTAATAGTATGGGGACCTTTTACGGTATCCTGTAATGAATAAGTGCATTTTCATACTAAACTGGAAAATGAACTTAGGGTACAGAGGGCTTCAAAACAATTATTTTGTAATTGCATGCCTTTGAAAAAGTAGTGGTTGAAATGGGAATAATTGAAAATAGACCTTACACATAGTGAATAAGAGGATTGTTTGTTACTTTCAATAATTAAACAAAATAACGTATGGAATAAATTACAATTTTATATCTAATTATTTAATACTTTCTATATCAAAATAAGGGTTTTTGACAGTATTTCTTAAAACAAGAAGATAGTTTCATGTCAAAATAATTCAAGAATGTAATTGATTGATCACTTGTAATTTTATATGTAAGTTTATTTGTAAATACTTCATATTTATAATAGCTAATGATTATCCTTACACCTAAATTTTGGGGTTTTGTCTAAAAAGGGTTTTTCGACATGAAGGTTAAAACCATGTCAACCTTGACATAAATATTTTGTAATTTAAGGCTTTTATTAGGGTATTTAAATAGATTACTATTTGTATTACATGGTGCATAGCTTTTTTAAAAAGTGTTTAAAGGTGCTTATTTTCATTTTTTAAAAGCGCTTAAGGGTGCTATTGTAATTGGGTGTTTTTAAAAAGTGCTTATTTTCTCTATTTGAAAATGAGATAGTTTTCTTTGCCATGTCAATTTTTGCCACGTATTATGCAAATGCTTGCTTTTCATATTGTTCTATTCAACATTTTCACAATTCATTCAATCATAATCTATTTCAGCTTCCCATCGGTCCACAGCGTAGGAAAGCGCCAATCATTTAACATGTTTGATAAAATACTTGCGAGTTCGCACATGCGTCTGCTGAGCTGCGTGCGATGAGATTTTTGCCCTCTCTTGTATAACTGCTGCATTTTGCAAGATATTCTTAATTTCAGGCTTCATTTTCCACTGTGTGATATCGAACCAAAGAATCTCGTCATCTTTTTATAATGGCAAATATAATCAAGAAAAGAGTTCTTTGTCAGAAACTGGTTATTT